ATGAGGACCTGAATTCAGTTCTCCAGATCCCAAGTGAAAGTCAGACGCAGTAGCACATGTCTGTAATCCCAGCTCTCCTATAGAGATGGGAGGCAGAGACAGGAGAATCCCTGCATCTTGCAGGCCAGTTAGCCTAGTATACAGAGTGGTGAACAAAAGACCCTGCCTCAAACAAGGTAAGGACCAACACCCGGGGTTATTCTCTAACTGCCAAACTTATGTGGCATGCCTGCACATGTACACACACGTACACACACACACACACAGATAACATGGGAACCTCAAGCAGCTTAGAGTGATCCTGGGTTCTGGGTGAGAATGTGCCTGCTTTCCCTTATAGTACATATTGCATTTTGGAAGGATAATTATACCCAAGAGATTCAAAGTGGCCTGCCCTGGCCACTCAGTAACTGAAGGGTTGTTACAGCCCAATAGAAAAGGCTAGAGCTGTTGGTTGCACAACTGCCCTCATTTGCACCCACCCAAGAGCAGGCAGGAGCTGGCAGGCTGCCTGAGTATCAGAAGCCACAATTATAGTCTGCGTTTCAGCCTGCTGGGAAGTGTGGTGAAGGACAGGGACACCCTAGCCTCAGTGCCCTTTTGTCTGAAGCTTGGCAAGGCAGTAGGCAGATCTGTGTGCAGGCTACAGGCCTAGGCCCACCAATTAGATTCACTTGCTCTCTGAGATCTTGGTCTATAAATAGAGCCCACGGCTGGGGCCACATCCATCTAAAGACCTGAGCAGATAACTCACTTTTAGTTCCACCACACACACAGGCAGCCAACACCTCCTCTCAGATCTCTAGGATGAGTAAGACCTTCTTTGTCCCCTATCTATCTCCCTACCCTCATGGCCTTCAGACCAGCCATAGGCCTTTTGCAGGGCATAACTGGATGTGGCCATGCCCATGGAGATCTGAGAAGACAGGGGCTGGGGAGATGGCTCAGGAAGTAAAAGAACTTGTTGTGTAAGCATGGACCTGAGTTGGACTCCCCAGAACCCATGAAAAAAACTGGATACAATAGTAAGCATCTGCAATCCAGCATTCCATGGAGATGAGAGGTGGAGGAAGGAGAACTTCCACAAGGCTGAAGACAGCTAGCCTGGTATAGGAAGAGGAAAAGCAACAGAAGCCCTGTCTCAAATAAGGCGAAAGGCAAAGATTGGCACCCAAAGTTGCCCTCTAACTTCCGTATGAGCACAGTGGCATACGCATATCTAGATTCAGACATTCATAGGTGTATACACACGAGAGCTGACAGGACAGTGTGCACACATCTGCACCTGCACCAGGGGCCAAATTTTGTTGACCAAGGGTTTTCCAGCCTTCCTCTCTGCTAATTGGTTGTTGTTTTAAAACAAGGTCTCACTATGTGTCCCTTACTGGCCTGGAACTCACTATGTAGACTAGGCTAACCTTGAACTCACAGAGCTCCCCCTGCCTCTGCCTCCTAGCTTGGATCAAAGGTATGCAACCATTATTTTATTTTTTATTATTATTTTTATTTTATGTGTATGTGTGTATTGCCTGCATCTAGGTAAGTGCACCTGTGTTGTGCAATGCCCGCGAAGGACAGAAGAGGCCATCGGATCCCCTGGAACTGGAGTTATGGACAGTTGTTAGCTGCCATATGGGTACTGGGATTTGAACCTGGGTCTTCTTCAAGAACAGTCAGTGTTCTTAACCACTGAGCCACCTCTCCAGCCCCCAAAATGATTTTTTTAATGTACTAATTTTATAAGGTTTTGTGCCAGGCCATCTGGACCTCACTCCACTTTACTCTCCTGCCTTGGGAGTTTGAGACAGGCTTCCATCCACAATGAGACTGGACCCACTTGGGATTCCCCAGTCAGTTGGCAAATGTGGGCACCCAAGTCTGGAAACCATGTGAGGATTCCTCTTCCCCTTTCCAGGTTCCAGGTGGCTGGGCAGAGGGTCCCTAGTGCTGACCTACAGAGCACCTGCTCTGACTTCCCTCTGGGCCAGCTTCCTAATGCCTGGGGCCTGAGGGGGTGGCACCCGTGCAGGCCAGAGCGTCTGCTTCAGCCAGCCCTTCTCTGCCTAGCAGTGATGCCTGCCAATGTTTAGCTCAGCTCTTTGTTCCAATCCTTTCTTTAAAAACATTTTCTGTATACGTTTAATCCCAGTACTCAGGAGGCAGAGGCAGGTGGATCTCTGTGATTTCTAGGTTAGTTTGGTCTACATAGTGAGTTCCAGGCCAACTGGGGCTAGAAGGAGACCCTGTCTCAAAAAACAAAAACAGAAAACAAACAAAAGAAAAAGGTCTATATTTTATTATTAAGTTTGTATGTGTGAAGCTGTGCACATGCTATGGGGAGCGCAGGGAGGTCAGAGGACAACCTTTGGGAGTCAGTTCTCTCCTTCCACCATGTGGGCCCCCGTGATAGAACCCAGGCTTCTTGATTGCCAGGCTTATCGGCAACCACTTCACACTCTGAGTCATGGAGCCAGTCCTAAGGTCGGATCTTTATTGCTACAACCTGAATTATAAGGAAGGCACTAGATGGTCTCCTATTTTTGGATTCGTATGATATATGTGTGGTTGTGCACGTGTGTGTGTGTGTGTGTGTGTGTGTGTGTTCCTATACATACATGTGTGGAAGCCAGAAGTCAATGTTGGGTATCTTTCTCTCAGTTGTTCTTTTCTTTGCCCGTTTTGACATTTATTTATTTATTTATTTATTTATTTATTTATTATTTGTGGGGGGGTACATGTGCTATGGCATGTATGTGGAGGTCAGAGGACAACCCACAGGAGTTGGTTCTCTCTTGCCATGTGAGTCCTGGGGACTGAAGTCAGGTAATCAGGCTTGGCAGCAAGCACCTTTACTAGCTGAGCCACTTTGCTGGCCCTCCACCTGAGGGACTCCCCTAGAGTCTCTCACTAGGACCTGGGGCTCACCAGTTCAGCCAGGTTGGCTCTGTACCATGCCTAGCATTTTTTTTTTGATTATTCGCTCCATGCTATTTTATTAAATAATGAGTTCCCCTGGGACATTTAAAATATGATTTGACTTACAAAAATTTGATTTACACTCACTTTCCCCCAGAAGCAGAGCTATTGAGGTAACGTTCTATTTGTTTAAAATGATGTTACATGTCCTGTAGCAAATGTTTCAGAATCTTTTCAAAGATTAAAACAAAGATACACACCACAGTTGTGGGAGTGGGAAACAATTTCTGCAGAGAATACATTGTATACAGAAGAAATTAGGAATGGATCTATTTGATTACCCACTTTGAGTTGTCATGAGGAAACCCATGATAGGACCTTGAATGTTTTAGAAGACACAGTCAGTGATATTTACTAGTGATACTTTCCAAATCAACTTATAAACACTCCTAAAAAAATAATAATAACTTAAAACTGATCAAGTGCCAGGCAAGGTAGTGAATTTTTTTTTTTTTTTTTTCTTTTTGAGACAGGGCTTCCCTGTAGCCCCAACTGTCCTGGAACTCACTAGGTAGACCAGGCTGGCCTCTACCTCTCAGAAAACTGCCTGCCTCTGCTTCCTGAGTGCTGGGATTAAAGGTGTGCACCACCACGCCCAGCAGTAGTGAATTCTTATAATCGCAGCACTGGAGATATTGAGGCAAAAAGATAGTGGGTTTGAGGCTAGCCTGGACTACATAATGAGACCCTGTCTCAAAAGAAAATCATCAAAACACTAAAAACTATGGGAAGAATTTTCTGTTTCACAGAGGGACTAAAGAATAATCCTAAAATTAACCTGGGTATGTCACCACCCAAGTCATACCTATGTTTTCACTTAGCTGTTTGGAATCGTGCTGGAATTCTGATATGGATAGCAAATATTCCTGAGTACCTGAATTGTGGGAGGACCAATCAAGAGAAGCCAAGACAATGAAGAGTATTTGGATTGATCTGTTTTAGTGATAATGTTCCACAAATTTTCACATTTGTGTCCCAAATTGTCATAGACTGAATTGCCATTCAAGTTTCTTCATCACACTTTGATACCACTCCTGCCTACCAGAGTGGCAACATTCAGGATGAGGCATGCGACTTAGTCCAAAAGTATCCCTTTCTAATTCTCCTTCTATCCAACTTCCCAAGGAGCATTTCTGATGGCATCATTCTCCCACTCAAAATATCCCAAGGTGGAGCGGAGTGGCCTATGCCTGTAATCCTGGGACCCTGGGAATCCAAGACAGGAGAATCTTAAATTTGACGTCAGTTTGTCTGAAAAGTAAATGAAAAGTAAGAAGAAAGAATATTTCAAGTTCCCTCTGCCATTTTCCCTGAAATTTTGTCTTTCATTCAAAGGTATTCTGTATAAAGAAGCAGAAAGACAGGTAGGAAAATATCAGATATGTAGCAAAAACATCAAAAATCTTTATCTGAGTTGTCAGCATGCCTAGCATTTTTACATGTATTCTGGGAACTGAACTCAGGTCCTCATGCTTGTGTGGCAAGCACTTTACCAATTGAGCCATCTTCCCATCCTAGTTCATGGCTATATTAGCATTCTTCTCTATAGAAAAGGAATATTATCTCTATATCGCCATATTCACTAAGGCAGGGCCTCTCAGTTGAACCCAAAGCTCACTGATAAGAGCTGGTTTAGCTAATCAGTTTGCTCCAGGGATCCCAACTCTGCCTTCTGAGTGCTAGAATTACATGCAGGCGGTCACACTTATCCACCCAACATTTATGTGTGTGGTGGGGATCCAAACTCTGGTCCTCATGCTTGCATGACAAGGGCTTTACCCACTGAGTCCTCTCCCGAGCACTCTTTTCCTGTCCTTCCTCAGAAGACAAAAATACCCCCAACCTGGGTTGTGTACCTGTGCTCTCCCTGGGGTGGGGCTGCTCTTGCTCAGCTTGTCCTCAGTGCTTGCACTTTGAATGGTATATGCTGGAGGAAGACCTGACTGGCCACTTTGGATATGAGGAGGGAGGTGGTGGGCCAGTGGCTGGGAGCCCTCCAGTGAGATCCTTGCATTCTCTTACAGCCAGGGCAATGTCAGGGGAGATGGACAAGCCGCTGATCAGTTGCCACCTGGTGGACAGCGATGGCAGTCTTGCTGAAGTCCCCAACAAGGCTCCCAAAGTGGGCATCCTGGGTAGTGGGGACTTTGCCCGCTCCCTTGCTACACGTCTGGTGGGCTCGGGCTTCAGTGTGGTGGTGGGGAGCCGAAACCCCAAACGCACTGCTGGGCTCTTCCCCTCCTTGGCCCGAGTGACCTTCCAGGAAGAGGCCGTGAGCTCCCCGGAAGTCATCTTTGTAGCCCTGTTCCGGGAACACTACTCCTCACTGTGCGGGCTCAGCGACCAACTGGCTGGCAAGATCTTGGTGGATGTCAGCAACCCCACGGAGCAGGAGCACCTTCGGCACCACCAGTCTAACGCCGAGTACCTGGCCTCGCTCTTCCCCACCTGTACTGTGGTCAAGGCCTTCAATGTTGTTTCTGCATGGACCCTGCAGGCTGGCCCCAGGGATGGGAACAGGCAGGTAGGTGCTGATTACAACCACATCCCAATAAATATAAACAGCTCATTTTCTTCCAGGACTCAGCATGTCAGGCTTTTCATGTATATTGCCTCAGCTAGTCTCCTATCACTGTGAAAAATCTCATCTTACACAGCAGGAAACTGAAGCTTGGAGACTTTTATGGATGTGAGATCCTTGTTCTTTGTGAGATGGGAATTGAGTTTCCCCAGAGTGAGAAGGGAAAGACAATGGCTGTTGACTATTTGGAATCAAGAAGGAAACACTTTGGGGCTGGGGAGATGCGTGGTGGGTAAAGTACATGCTGCACAAATATGAGTACCTGAGTTTAGAGCCCCAGAGTCCACATAAGAGCTGGATGTGGCAGTTGTAATCCTAGTGCTGGGGGACAGAGACAGAGGATCCCTAGGATGTGGTGGCCAGCCTGTCTAGTGGGAATGGTGAGCTTCAGGTTCAGTGAGAGACCCTGCTCAAAACATAAGGTAAGACAGGATAGAGGGAGAGATCAACCTCTGGTCTCCACATTTATTAACACACACACGAACACATATAACATACACACACAAACATGACATGTGCATGTACCACACACATACACCCAAAAGAAAAGGAATGCCAGACTCCATATGTGTGGGAGAATGTTCATCAACAAGCCCACTCAGGGGCCAATTCTTGGGAGAAGTTAGAGGTCCTGACTGCAGGACCCAGAATGAGGCTGCTGACCAAAAGTGGTGCTTATAGGTTACAGACCATCATTGAGGGAAGTCAGGGTAGGAACTCAAGCAGGATCTTGAAAAGCAGGCAGGCTTACTATTCCATGAAGCATTACCTCTAACCAGAGAACTCATAGCCAAGAAAATACAGTAGAAACCAAGGAGGATGCTGCTTGCTGGCCCTCAGGCTCATGTTTAGTCAGCTTTCTCATTCAGTCCAGGACCACCTGCCCAAGGAATTATACTACCCACAATGGGCTGGATTCTCCTACATCAATTAACAGTCAAGACCATCCCCTCCACAGATATGCCCGCAGGCCAGTCTGATCTAGGCAATTCCTTAATTGAGGCTTTCTGCTCAGGTAACTCTAGACTGTGTCAAGTTAACAGTTAAGGCTAACTAGGACAGAGGGCTTGGAGGCAGAGCAAGTGGTCTGGCTGGAGAAGACCCAGGCTCAGGAAGCAGAGAGGGCACTCCAGGCTGATGGGGTCTGCAGGCTATGTGTGAGGCTTGAGAGGCCACTGCACAGACTAGCTGCTCAGTGTTGGAGACTGGGCAGACCTCAGCCTTGTCAGCACGCACCTTGGCGTGCTTTGGGATCTGAAGACACCAATGTGTGGTGCTCATGAGGAACAGCAGGCTTATAGGATGAAAGGGCAGGCAGGGTTGGTTTGGGGCTGAGGGTCTTGAGGAACCATGGGACAGCATCAGAGGGGACACCTGCACTGAGGGACACATCTGTAATCATTGCTATATACATTCAGGGCCACTTGCAAGACCCTATCACCAAGCAGCTCCAGGGCAAGGCCCTAGTCCTCTGAAGCCCCTGTCCCAGGGGCCGTGAAGCCATAGTTTTCTCAAGCAGCCATTCCAAGCAACACAGGCTGCCTGACTAAGCATTTGCTATGACTGATGTCATAGAACTTGCAGGACACTTACTGGGAGGGCTTCCTCTCTTCCATTGGTAGGTCTGGATGGGAGGCCACAGGGTTCTCTGGGAAGATCCTTGGCCTGGACATCAGAGTCCAGCTTACATTCTCTGCTTTGCCATCAGTCGGAAGTTCACTTGGACCCAGGCCTGCTCTTCTGTGTCTCAGTTTCATCAGTTTCTCAGTGAGGAGCTTAGCCCTAGTGGTCACCAAGGCCCTGCCCATACCTGTGACTCTGACCAACTCTCCTCCTTGCTTCCCACAGGTGCCTATCTGCAGTGACCAGCCGGAAGCTAAGCGCACCATCTCTGAGATGGCACATGCCATGGGTTTCATGCCCTTGGACATGGGATCTCTGGCCTTGGCCCGGGAGGTGGAGGCCATGCCCCTGCGCCTCCTCCCTTCCTGGAAGGTGCCCACTCTCCTGGCACTGGGGCTGTTTGTGTGTTTTTACACCTACAACTTTATCCGGGACGTACTGCAGCCATATGTGCGGGAGAACAAAAACAAGTTCTATAAGTTGCCGGTGTCTGTGGTAAACACCACGCTGCCATGTGTGGCCTATGTGCTGCTGTCCCTGGTATACCTGCCTGGTGTACTGGCTGCTGCCCTGCAGCTTTGGAGGGGGACCAAGTACCAGCGCTTCCCAGACTGGCTGGACCACTGGCTGCAGCATCGTAAACAGATCGGGCTGCTCAGTTTCTTCTGCGCAATGATGCATGCGCTCTACAGCTTCTGTATGCCACTGCGCCGCTCCCACCGCTATGACCTGGTCAACATGGCTTTGAAGCAGGTACCACCTGTGCCGGCTCCTCCATCCTTCTGTACCAGCCTGTCTGGGGCCATCTGTGTACTGGTGGGACCACCCTTGCTCTTATGACAAACTTAAACTACACTAGGCCATGAGAGAGCAGGCACTTAGAAGTTCATGAGCACTGAGGAAAATATAGCAGGGAGAATGTGTGCCATTGTGCGTGTGTGCGTGTGTGAATAGAGGTGAACATAGAGGTGTTGCAGGCCCAGGGACAGTGCGGAGGGGCTTTGGGCCTTGAGGGAAACAGGGAATCAGTGAAGGGTTTTCATTTGAGGAGTGAGGATCTGCCTGATGCTTTAATCAGCTCACTGGCTGCTAGGTTCAGAAGAGATAAGAGATGTCAAAGGCAGACAGACACTGGAGGCCCCAGTGAATGACTGTGGGGACAGGGAGAGGGATGACAGCAGCTGCAGCAGGAATATGGAAGCATGTTTTAAGCTCAGACATAGAATTTCTGGTGATGAACGGATGTATTGTCTGCAGGGTGCAGGTGAGTTGATCTGCCCCACTACAGAACAGAATGCTTATCTGGTTAACAGGATTAAGCTGTTCTGCAGAATTCTCTGGGGCAGAACTAGGCTGATGGGACATGTTTGGGGTGACAGTCAGCAAAGCCAGAATTTAACAGCCTGGCAGTGGTGAGCTGATTCAACCTGGACATATTTAAGCTGGTACCTGGTAGTCTACTGGTCAGATGCATCCTCAAGTCTTGGGCTTAGACACCTTGGAGAGTGTTGGATCTGATGCCTTGCCTGTAAAAGGCAGTTACTCCTGCCAGCTTTCAGCCACCTCCCACAGAGCCTCCCTGTGGCTGCTGCTCACACTGGTTGCCACAGGGCTCTGTGGGAATAGGGAGTGCATTAGCCTGGGCATAGGAAACCCCTCCAAGATAACCTTGAAGGCCACGAGGGTGCAGACCATGCTTGTTGATAGTATTAGCACCATCACTAACTGATGTTTATGTATTGTTTTCTGATTTGATTGTGCTGTTCCCTAAAAGATGCATTTCCAGATTAGTCAGAGGATCTGAATCCCTTCAATCCCAAAAACCCATGTACAAAGAAAAAATGGATGTGGTAGCACATGCCTTCAATCCCAACCCTCGGGAGGCAGAGACAGGCAGATCCCTAGGATTCTCTAGCCAGCAGCCTATCCTACTTAAGTTCCATGTTCAATAAGAGATTCTGTCTCAAAAAACAAGGTGGAAGGATCCTGAAGAGTGAAACCCAAGGTGACCTCTGGCTTCCACACACATGTTCACTAATGTGCATGCACACACACATTCATCCACACACATAAAAGTGGCAGTGATCCCCAGGCAGGTTTCCCACTCTCCACTGCTCCCAGTTCCAAAGCAGATTCCCCCCATCCCGGCATCACTGCAGAGTGGAGGGGGGACCAGGTTTTCAAGTCACTGTTGAATATACTGCAGTCATGCAGAGCTGGGCTTGTGCTGTTAACCACCTGAGTTCAGCAAGCAGGATGAGTAATGAGTGAAGAGCAGACCACGTGGAGGTGACTTAGTTAACACCGCAGCCGTAATGTGAGTCACTCTTGTCTGAGGGCAGCTACTATAGGACCCCTGTCCTTCCCAGGGTCAGATTGTTCACACCTCCCTAGAAAACTTTGCTCCAGCTATTTCTGCCACATCACACTTAAGAGGAAAATCCCAGCGTTGAACATGATCTGGTTTGAATTTCTCAGGTGGAGAAACTGAGGCCCAGGGACAGTTTTCTAGAGTCCCTCAGGGTTAGTGGCCAAGAATGAAGCAGGTCTCCCAACTCCCGGTCCTTTGTACCTTACAGACACCAATGTGAAGCAGTGTGCCCTAAAATAAACAAAGTGAGGGAATGAGAGTTTACTCAGTTGGCGTGCTTGCCTAGGATGTGAAAGCCTTGGGCTCCATCCCCAGCAACACCTGGCACAAGCCTGTGGTCTCCCAACTCACTAGGGAGATAAAAACAGGAGGATCAGATGTTCAAGGTCATCCTCTGCTACCTGCCTCAAAAAAAAAAAAAAAAAAAAAAAAAAAAAAAAACAAATAAAGAGGGTTGGGCATGGTGGCATAGACCTTAAATCTCAGCACTCAGCACTCGGGAGGCAGAGGCAGGCAGGTCTCTGTGAGACTGAGGCCAGCCTGGACTACATAGTAAATTCTAGGCCAGCTGGGGCTATTAAGGAAACCCTGTCTCAACCCCCACCTTAACCCCCCAAAACCCCAACAAAAAGCCATCATTTTTCATAAACTGTAGGCAATGTGCCCATGGATGACATTTTCTTGGTTTCTTTAAACTTTCTTTCATAAGCTTTGCTTCTTCAGTTTTAGTATCTTATTCCGGTAACTGGGCTTACGTGAGGATTTTTTTTTTTCCTTGCTGAAGTAGTTTCTGAAAAAACAAAACAAAACAAAACCCTACCCTTTCTGAGTCACTGTTTGGAGATGCAGGGACAAGCCTGCTAAGGCTTCATCTCCTTCTCTTATGGAGGCTCTGCTGCTTTTCTGCTGGTAGCATTAGAGTACTAGCATTTTGTGGGGCTTCTCAGAGCTTCCAGGAACCCAGCAGTGGGGACGAGTTGGAAATGATGACGGTAATGTAAGGATCTTGATTCAAGTTCTTCAGGTGCTGAGTCAGGGAGTGCTGGTGAGCGAGGAGGGGATACTGCTAGGTTGGCAGAGCATCTCTGGTATATGGGTTTATGTGTGTATATGTCCCTGAAGTGGGGGATATCAGCTTCATGATAGCAGGTGTTCTCATTCTTTGTAGTCTAGGGCTCAGCACACAGTAGGCACTTCCTAAGTGTTTGCTGAACTGCCTGGTGAAGGGATATCAGGCTGTTGCCTGGCAATAGTTGAGCCACAGCTATATGCTTCAGAGAAGTGAAGGGGTCTGGAAACTTTGAGTTAGATGTTGGGGACCATTGTGTGGGTCATTATGAGTCCTGAGTGATGAAGCAGGTTGCAAACAATCTGGGTAAGACAGGCTGGGAAGGAAGATGGCTAGCAGGAGTATGGGCGAATGGGCTGAGGGGATGTAACACTGGAATTGCACCTTTCCACTGTCCTGAAACCAATGTGATACACCTGAGCTTAGGGGTTGTGTATTTCTCTCTCTCTCTCTCTCTCTCTCTCTCTCTCTCTCTCCCCCCCCCTCCTCTTTTTGAGACAAGGTCTCCCTATAGCTTCAGCTGGCCTGAAACTCACTATGTAGTCCAGGCTGGCCTTGAATTCACAGAGATCCACCTGCCTCTGCCTCCCAAATGCTGGGATTAAAGGCATGCACCTCCACACCTGGCCGGGAGTATATATTTCTTTTGAAGGGTGCAAAGTGAGGCAGAATCTCACTATGTAGCCCAGGCTGGCTCAGAACTGATGATCCTCCTGCCTCAGCCTCTTGGGTACTGAAATTACAAGCTTGTGCCCACCAGGCCCAGCTGAGGGCCTTTACCCCTTTCAATTTATCTGATGTCTTACCCTCTAGCTGAGGTGACCCTTATAGCTGGCCAGCCTCAGGTGGGGAGCCATGACCTTGAAAAAGCAACTTTATCTTTGTCTCTCATTCTCTTCATTCCCAAAATGGGCTTACAGTGATCTCTGTCTTAGGGAGTCATCATGAAATTAATGACTTTCTTTTTTAAAAAGATATTTATTTTATTTCTATTTTTAATTATGTGTATGTGCAGATGAGTGTAGGTGCCTGTCGAGTCCAGAGGAGGGTGTCAATCCCCTGGAGCTAGAGTTACAGGTGGTTGTGAGTCACCTGATGTGAGTGCTGGAAACTGAAGTCCTCTGCAAGAGCAGTACATGTGAGCCATCTTGAGCACTGATTAATGATTTTCTAATACCTGGAAAGTACTTAAAACATGTCAGGTACATGCTACTGTCCCATGAGGTATGAACATAGCTGTGTCTGTCTTACTCTTATTCTTAGTGCTTTCTCACACATTCCAGGATACTGGCCTTTACCACAGTGCTCATGTTTTCCTTCTGTCCCTGGTCAGGTCCTGGCGAACAAGAGCCACATCTGGGAGGAGGAGGAAGTATGGCGGATGGAGATCTATCTCTCCCTGGGAGTGCTGGCCCTCGGCATGCTGTCTCTACTGGCTGTTACCTCTCTGCCATCCATTGCAAACTCACTCAATTGGAGGGAGTTCAGCTTTGTGCAGGTAAAGTGAGTAACCCCTCCCCCCTTTTGAGCCAGGTGTGGCTTGGCCCTGGTCTTCCCTGGTCTTGTGTTCATGAACTACTTCAGCACAACAGGACCACTGGGTTGGGTGCTGGGGCCTTCCCACCTTGCAGGGTCTCCAAGCCTCCAAATCAGCTTGCCTGGGGTAAGTTCATCTTCCTGACCCTAGGAAGTCAGTCATATAGAGTCTGTGACAATAGAGGACAGAGCATGGAACCCTGGGCCAATCCTCCTCAGGGAACATAGCACTTAACTATGACATGTAGTCCTTGCATGCTTGAAATGCACATGGGAGGTAGTGAGTTATAGGTGAACCCAGAAACCCCACAGTCATACACCCTCAGCTCAACCCCTCACTGTTGTTCCCATGTGGGGGTCAGATGGAAAGTGAGCATGAGGATCAACTGTAATGGGATGAGGCAGTGTTTCCCAAAGGGCAATGTGGCTGGGACAAATCCAGAGAAAAAGAGATGGAAGCTGGGACATGCTTTGTAATAGAGTACTTTCTTAGGGTGTGCAAGGCCCTAGGTTCAATCCCCAGCACTGCAAGATAGATGGAGGGATGATAGATGATACATAGATGATAGATAGATAGATAGATAGATAGATAGATAGATAGATAGATAGATACTCACTCACTTGCTCCCCCACTAATTTCCTTTCATTTATGGTTTTGTATCTCTAGATAGATAGATAGATAGATAGATAGATAGATAGAAAGATAGATGATAGATAGATAGATAGATAGATAGATAGATGATAGATTGATAGATATATGATAGATAGATGATAGACAGATAGTGAGTAGATGCATGGATGTATGGATGTATATGGACAGATGAGTGAAAGAATACGTGGATGAGTTAATGGGTGATAGGTAGGTTTTCTTCCCCCTAACAAACCCACAGTATACTTTGGCACATTAGAGATTTTAGAAAGTTTATAACACTCAAACTTTTGACAACAGGACATCTGTGGACACTGCTACCTTGATTCTGTTTCTCACAAGACAGCTACCAATGTCTGAAAAATGATGCTGGTGGGAAAGGGTCTCCATGCATGTGTCAACCCAATGAACACACTCTGAGCATGTGTGCATCCCACACATCACCCAGGCCTGGGATGCAGCAGGATCAAGATGAGTAGAGCCTAGTTTTAATTGTAAGGGATACAATCCATATGGGGACATTTCTTGCATCCCCTGGGAACCTCCTGCTGTTTTTCATAACGTACACCAGGGTCATTGTTGGCGGACTAACTCATCCCTCTGGTAGATGGAAGCTGACTGACTCATCCTGGCTCCCTCCCGTCGTACTGTATCAGGGCAGAGAACAGCCATCGCATCCACCCCCACTGCCAACCAAAATCTGTCAAGTAGGTTCTCTGCACAGCAAGGACTCAGAGGGACAGTGACAGAACACTGTACTTATGTAATCTAAATTAATTCTTTCTGACTGGGGACCCTTAGCATACCTTAGAACCAAACAGTTGTGGTTGGTTTTTAAAGCATGTCTGAGAATCTCAAGGGCTCTGCTCATCTCAGAAGACCCGTGGAAGGCTCACGGCTAACACATGCTGGCCTAAGAGGGTGGGGAGGGAAGGAATTTTCTTGATCTGGCACTAATCCCTATTTGTCTCATGCCCAAATCTCGGATTTTTGTCTTCCCGCCTGGAGTATCCTGGGTATGTGGTTTGGCCACAATTAAAACAGACTGTAGATTGTTCCTCTTTCCAGAAAGTTCTTCCCTTAAGCAGCCATAGATTACATGCTCCGATTCTGGCTGCCAAAGAAAGCCTATGGATTTGATTTTGTTAGCAAAAGCTGACTAGGCCCCAGAAATCACCCCCTACTTTACATATTGAAGAACTGTGGTAAAAAAAAAATGTGGGTCCTTCTGCCACTGCAGGAGCTACGGGACAGGGCTGGAGGATGGGTAGAAAAGGCAGGGTTTCATTTGTGGGGGTGTCTGAAGTCTGTTAACTCCCTCTCTCATGTACACTAGTATGGAAAAGGGTCTGCCAGAGCCTGCAAAGTCAGTTGCAATGCCACCTGCTCTGTGAATGTGGGCAGATCACATCTACCACCCCACCCTGAGCCTCAGTTTATTCCCAAAGAAAAATGAAGTCAATGGCTTGGGGCAGGTTGGGGAGTGATTTTTGTGAGTCATAGTGAGAGATTATGGGTAAAAGAAAAGTAGAAATCACATTGCTGCTCTTCTTGGGATGTCTGGTGACAGTCCCACTATCCCTGACTAAGCTATTAACCACTCCTTTCTGTTTCTGTTTTGGAGACAGGGTCTCACTATGTTGTTGCACAAGCTGACTTCAAACTCTTGGGTGCCAGTGATCCTACTGTCTCCGTCTCGTCTCTGCCTCTGTCTCTCTGTGTCTATGCCCCCTGGCCGCATGTAGCCTAGGCAGGCCTTGGGCTCAATACATAGCCAAGGATGACCTTGAACTCCTGATCTTCCTTCCTCTCTTTCCAGAGTACTGGGATTATAGGTTTGTACTACCATGTCAGGTTTATGATGTGCTGGGAATGGAGCCTGGGGCTTTGTGCATGCTAGGCAATAACTCTTCTAACTGAGCTACACCCCCAACACTTCTTTTGGCTTTTGAAACAGGGTCTCATGTAGTCCAGGCTGGCCTAAAGTTGTGATGAGGTCGAGGATAATGTTGAATTGCTGATCCTCCACCTCCACCTCCCAAATACTGGGATTACAGACATGAGCAAACTGGCTCTGTAGCTGAGGATGACCTTCAACTCTTGATCCTCCTGCCTCTGCCTTGAAAGGGTTGAGATTACAGGTTTGCAGTACCATGCCCTGTTTATGAGATGCTGGGGATAAATGCTGGGACTAGATTTGTGCATGCTGAGCAATCACTCTACTTACTGAGCTACAAGTTCAATCCTCCAAGTGGTTTTCAAAGTTTTCAGTTTTGGTTTGTATTTTTTTGAATGGTTTTGTTTGGGTTTGGCTGTGTTAAACTCTCAAATATTCAGCTAGTTAAACCCCATTACATTGCGAAGTGTCTGAATGGATTTAACGTATCTGCATAGAAAACCTAGGGTTCAGCTCTTAACACTCACCCTAAAGGAGCTCCTTCTGACCTTGCTTGTGCAACCACTTGCCTGAAATATTGACAGGGACCAGCCTGACCCCCACTTGGTGAGCAATGGCCAAAGCCCTTTCAAGCTGCAGTAATTGAGCACCAGCAGGGGCCAGGGCGACCTGCCTGTGGCTTTCCTTTGCTAACAAGCTTCTGTGTAATAAAAATGGCCCTAGCTTGGCATGGGAGAGGGTTAGTTATTAATGGTCCCACGACATCCCTCTCCTAATTTCCTTTGGCCATTCTGGAATTTTTAAACTGTTCCCAAGGAGAAAGAGTTTTGGGAAAAACATTCTCTGGAATCATCCAGGCTTCCCAGCAGGACTGCAAAACTAAAGGCCTTCTGGCTGTGGTCCTAGCTAGGAATCATTAGCCTGAGGCTGGGATTCCTGCCACTTGCACCACGGGGACTTAAAAAACAAAGAGAAGGGGATATGAACAGGAGTTGCCTGAAAAGGCTGGTGGGCCTTGAGGAAGCATCTCCACACTGGGCCTCCATACTCATTCCTCACTGCTGAGGATGGTGGCCCACATGGGTCAAATACTGGAGCTATAGGACATATCACCTTCAGGTGATGCTCAGTGAAGCCACCATCCTATGCCTGGATGGGGTCCTATGGTTGCTCCATCTGGAGAAAGCCAAGACACTGCAAGTGGTCCCAAGTGGGTCTTATCTAAAGGAGAGAAGGACTAGGCCCACTCCAATGGAACAGCCTGGGCCCTGGGCCCCCCGAGCGTGGGTTCTTCAACCTCAAGCTAGAAGGGCGTGGGTGAGTGAGTTGCCATAATTAGTGACTTAGTCCTGGCCACACATTTGTATCATCTGCTGAACTCCGAAAAACAACAGATGACTTAGCACCACCCCAAACCAGTTTAATCTGAATTTCTGGGGGTGGAGCTGGTATGCTCGTATATTTCCCAAGTTTCCCAGGTGATTTTAGCTTGTAGCACCCATTTGAAACCAGCCCAGCTGCCAATTGATCAATTCTCAGAAATAAAAAGGCAGGTCCCAGCCATCTTGGCAGCTAAGGGCTCCCTCCTTTAAGAGGTTGGGGCAGATGAATCACTAGCTGGGGATGGACACCTGATTGGAGAATGTCAAGATGACTGACAGGATGTTCAAGACTTAGCGCTATGGTCAGCACTGGGCCTCTTTTTAACCCCCGTCTTCCATGGCAAGACATCACCATTTAGAAAAGGTTGATGAGCATGGATGTTAAAGATTTGTGGTTCTTTAGAGTTTAGTTTGATATGGTTTTAGTTTTGTTTGTTTTGAATCAAGGTCTCACATAGCCCTGGATCCTCAAAATTCTCAAAATTATTCTGTAGCCCAGGATGACCTTTAGCTGATCCTCCTACCTCTACTTCCCCACTGCTGGGATTACAGTCTTGAGTCACTATGTCCAGTTTATGAGGTGTTGGGGATGGAACCCAAGGCATCATGTGTATGAGGCAAGCACTCTATCAACTGAGCTACATCCCCCTCCCCCAGCCCAGATATGCAGTTTTTAAAAAATTATTTCTATGTGTATGAATGTATTGCCTGCATATATGCAAATGTGCCCATGTTGTGCAATGCCCATAGAGGTCAGAGGAGGACATCCAGTTCCCCTGGAACTGGAATTACAGATGGTTATTAGCTGCCATGTGGGTGTTGGGATTCGAACCCGGGTTCTCTGCAGGAGCCAGTGCTCTTAACTGCAGGACCATCTCTCCAACCCTGATTTGCAGTTCTTGATAGACATTTATGGAAGAGACAGGATTTAGTTTCCTATGACTTACAGTCAATGAAGTTTCCATCTAGGGACCAATGATGTTAGGATGACACACGAATGAACAGTGCATCATAGAACAAATTCAACCGTGGCTTCCTAACTGGCCACACTGAGGCCCAGAGTCATTAAGGATGGGATAAGAAGTATGAAGTGGACACCAAAGGACCAGTGATGACTAAGAAGAGAGACAGAAAGGGTCTTGTTGCATTTAGGTATTTTATTTGGAATTTTTAAAAATGTAGAAGAGGGGAGAGCAGGGATGGGGAGATGGCTCAGTGGTTAAAAAAAAAAACAAATCTAGATCCTAGATCCTAGATCTATGCTGACAAGCTAGGCTAGGAGGAATTCTAGGAAGCTCAATTGCAGCTTTTCTAGAAAAAAAAAAAAAGTGCTTGCCATACAAGCATGAGGACCAGAGTTTGGATCCCCAGAATCCACATAAATGCCAGGTGGATGTGATGTTGATATGCCTGTATTTCCAGCCTCATAAGGCAGACAAGATCCCTCGAACAAGTTGGCTATGAAGACTGGCCATATCAGTGAGCCCTAGGTTTGATTGAGAGACCTGCTCCAATGAATAAAGTGGAAAGACTGATCAAGGATGATTCCTAACATCAACCTGGACCTCCTCGTGCAAATGCACATGCATGCATGTGTACCTACACATGTGTACCCTCACACATGCACACATACACAAAAATATAAAAAGAAGAAAAGAGAAAAGGAACCTAGGAAACTGCCAGTGTGCCACCATTGGAAAATGCTTGTGTTTAACATCACCAGCAATGCTTTTCTGAACGATGCTCTTCTACTGGCAGTAAGCTTCCATCTTGGGTTTTATCCAAGAGGACGTACAAGCAGGGCAGTGAGAATAAGGCTCAGTGCACAATCAGCCTCATTCATTCATTTCGTTTTTGTTCTACCATGCTGAGTATGGAACCCAGGACCCTGAACATGCTAGGCAAGGGCATTACCACTGAACCAGCCTCCCCTACCCAGTCCCATTTAGAATGATGTCTGAGGGGAGCTCAAACAAAGGAGCACCTCTCATCTGAGCTCCTAGATCTTTGCTGACAATCTGGGCCAGGAGGAAGTCTAGGAAGCCCAATTGCAGCTTTTCCAGAAAGCTCCAAACCAGTGGCTCCAAACCAGCATAGGGGTGTGTAGCCACATTTAAATTAAACCAATATAATGACTCCTCAGAAGAAATGTGTAGTGCTTATTGCTCAACAGGGCACCTTGGTGACCAACTTAGATTTCTTCGGTCTGGAATCCTCAACGGCTCCTAGTGGTCACAGCATTTAGCCAGAGCTGCTCTGGACTCTCCCCTACCCCACACAGTCTACTTCACAGAGCCATCTGCCCCACCTGGGGCCTGCCCTCATGCAGGTTTGCTGTTGTAATCCCTGCCTCCCACTAAAGCAGATGTCATGATGTGCTCAGGGTCATTGCCAGTAAAGCCTAGCTCAGCCAGCCTAGCTAAATTGGCAATCTTCAGGCCAGTGAGAGACCCTGTCCCCTAAAAACAAGGTTGATGGCATCCTGAGGAATGACATTTGAGGTTGACCTCTGGCTTCCATGTGCACAGGAACACGCATACATGTACATATATACATGCCTATATATGCACATACGTGTACACATATATGTACAGATTAATACACACATACAAATACAGATATACACATACATATATACATATACACAGGCCTATATATTCACAAAAAAGATTGAAGGGAGGGAGGGAAGGAAGGAAGGAAGGAAGGAGGGAGGAGAAAGAAAGATAGAGGCAGGGCTGGGATTCAAACACATTGGTGCCCTGAAGCCCTCCTCCCTCTCCTCACTCCTGCCTTTCTTCTTCCCACAGTCCACACTGGGCTTCGTGGCGCTGATGCTGAGCACCCTGCATACACTCACCTATGGCTGGACCCGTGCCTTCCAGGAGAGCCACTACAAGTTCTACCTCCCACCTACCTTCACGCTCACACTGTTCCTGCCCTGTGTCATCATCCTGGTCAAGATCTTCTTCCTCCTGCCCTGCTTCAGTCGCAGACTCACCAGGATCCGCAGGGGCTGGGAGAAAGATGGTGCTGTCAAATTCATTCTGCCTGCTGACCACGTACAGGGGGAGAAAACAAGCCATGTGTGAGCCTTGGGAGCAGATACTAGGCACAACTTGTGGGTGCCTGAGCCTGGTTCAGTTCTCTTTTCTAGATGCTGCAGAACAGAGTGATGATATACATATAGGTGATTTGAGATGGGAATTCCTGGGACACAGATGTAAGCCATGATATTTAGAATGACACACCATGCGTGTGATATGTATGCATATATACTTCATATCTATAACAGGATTTACAATTATTTCTACTTCACTAAAAAACTGGATCCCTAGATTTCAAAGTAAATGTTAAACAGCAGGTCCTGCCCTTGTTAACATTTGTAGAGGCAGACACACACTTTTGGTACAAGAGAGATGTACATTTTGCTGGGTTCCATCCTTTACCTGCCTCTCTACAGTCCCTGTTAGCACCAACCTAAGGTTGATGCAGAGCTGGGGCAAGTATAGCTCTGGGTGTAGCTCACCCTACATCCCAGTGCTAAAGAGAGGCCCAGAGTGAACAGGAATGCCACAGGGGGGAGGCCAGAATCTGCAGGGGCTTTTGCAGCTCCCTCCTTTTCCCGGGGGTGGGGTTAAGAAAAAGCTGCCCCACGTGATCCTAGCTGGGCTGAGGGAGATATTTCCGCCCTCTTAAAAGTCCAGAGTCACCGCAGGGCCTGCAAATTGATCCTTCTGTGAAGGTGTGAAGTCACCTCCTTGCCCAGCCACTAATGAACCTGATCTTGAGAATGAGTGTAATTGCTTTCCCTCCATTAAGTTGGTGGTGACCACTCTAAACCACTGTGCCTTCTCACCTTTTCCATCATTAATTTGGACTTCTCCCTGGAAGGCAGAGGAGCCTGAGGGGGAGGGGACCACACCAGAGCTTGCTGAGAATAACAGGGCCGCCTCCCCTTGGACTTGGACTTTTCCTGGGGGCTGAGGGACTGCCTTCATTAAATTGGTCCCCAGGGAGAATAACAGGGACCCCTTTCCATGTACTCTGCAGCTGTGGGCAAAGAACCTGTCTCCTGAGCACCCAGAAACCTGCACTGGCTTCATGTCCCCCTCCTGGAGTCTAGCGGTTTCCTTTGTCTGTGCTTTTTCCTTCCTTTCAGTTTCACTCAATTGCAGTCTACAAATATTGTTTGAATTCTTAGAGATCACATTCTCATTTTACTACACTATAGTTATAATTGTCCTTTATTGTTATTAGTTACTGTTATTAATCTTTTCCCGTGCCTACTTTATTAACTAGACTTATCACAGGTATGCATAGGAATATATGTTTCCGAATTGTCTGTAGTTTCAGGCATCTACTGGGGTCTTGAATGGACCCAGGTATTATAGTTCAAAATAACTGGGAGGGGCTTTTCTATCAAAGCTACAAGTATAAAACCTTGCTGCCCCAAAGCACAGGAGGCCAGACCACAGTCAGAACCATAGGGTATCTGTCCTCTAGCCTTGCGGCATTTATTGCTGGTTCAAACTAATACTGGTTTACTTCTTCTGTGGAAAAATGGCTGTTCTCAGCTCAGTCCCCCAAACCCTACAAAGCCCAAATGATATGCCGCCAACTCAGAACAGAGGTCTCAGTGGAGCTTCCCCTGGGTCAGGGTACATCTTTAGATACAAGGAAAGAAGAGGACTGACCACTTTACAGCAGGTGAGGTACCCTTGTTAATCCAGGAAAGCATCATGTCTGTGGGCACATAGGATCCTTCACTGAAGCTGAAGCCATGAATGATCTCACCTGCATAGGGCTCAGCCATTTTCTCCAGCTCTCTCTGGGAGAAGATAGGTCCTTATACCAAAGATACAGGGAGGAACCCATGGTATTTCTTCCCTTTCCTCACCCAGCTCCTGCTGTAGGTGCTTACCAGAAGGGAAATGAGGCTGAGTATCTGTCACCTGTCTGTCAGCTTGTGGATGGCAGGTGGGCCTTGGGCTTGTCCCTGATCTTGCATCTGTCTTTGCTTTTCCTTCCCACCTCACCAGGCAACGGGCAACATCTTCTAGGAGAGCTAGACACTCCCTAGCCTAGGAAGGTCTTTGTAGCTCTGGGTCCAGAAGTGGCTCAACCCAGTGTTCTGGATGCCTGAGGTGGACATGTAAAATTTATGCCATGGACAGAGTCCGAGTTTTGTTGTTTTTATCTCATAGAGCTTGTCTCGGAAGTAATGACAATAAATACCTAACCTATGAACGTAAGGCTTTTATTTCTGGTGATATGGCCATTTGGTGATATGGCCTTTGTAGACTGGACCAACCATGTGGCTGGAGTCTGTACTTGTTCAGCCTCCCATTAGAAGCACAGGTTGCCAGGGTGAACGGTAATCTAGAGCTCGCCACTGAAGGAGGGCAGGTATGCAGAGCATCGATGGGACAGTGAAGAAACAGGGAGGTCCCCATGACAGTCTGGATTGGGAGGGTGACAGTAATGTCCTAGGGTACCAGGATTAGGGGTAACACAAGAACTTCCTGGTTGGGCAGGGGAGGTGGCTCAGCCACTAACGGCCCTTGCCTGATGATCTGAATTTAAGCCGTAGAACTCACATGACAGAAGGACAGAACCAACTCATAGGTTGACCCCACACTTGAGCTGTGGTGCGCAAGTTCCCCTTATATACACATACACACACAAAGTAAATATATAAAAACCTTCCTGAGGTGGCCCAAAAGCCAAGATCCTGAGAACTACAAAGCTACCTGCTGAGTGGCAAGAAAGCAAGCACGTTGGGTTGGAAAGGTTAAAAATAATTATTGAAGAAAATGAAAAAGGAAACAGAATTGGTTTTTTAAAAAAAAGCTTGAGGGGCTCAGTCAGTAGAATGCTGTCTTGTAAGCACAAAGATCTAAGCTCAGTCCCCAGAACCCGAACCCTTGTAAAACAGTGGGGCATGGTGGTTCCAATTTATAATCCCAGCACAGGAGAGGCAGAGACAGGCAGATCCTGGAGCTCACTAGCTAGCCTGCTGAGCCTACTGCGAGTTCCAGGCCAGTGAGAGACTTGTCTCAGAAATAAACAAGGTGGATGGCTCCTGAGGAATGAGAACTGAGAATCTCTCTCTCTCTCTCTCTCTCTCTCTCTCTCTCTCTCTCTCTCTCTCTCTCTCTCTAACACACATGTTATAACTTCACTTTATCTAAAGAGAAGATAGTTTATCTTCGCTCAGTTTGGTCTGTGACAGTTGCTCAGACACATGTTGGCTTCATTTTTGTTTTTCTCTGTTCAGAAATGAACAGAAATGGAACCGTTGATGCACTGAACATCCGAGCCTTCCCCTTCCCGCCAGTGAGGTAAGGTCAGCCCTGTTGACCAATTGCTGATTTCATTTGTTGGACCAGAAACCCAATGCATTTCTGTAAGTTCCTGTCATATGCAGAGTCTGCTTTTAAAAATACTATTTTAGTCAACAGTGAAAACTATTCCCCAGCCAGAGAATTCATCTGGGCTCCCACTTACAAAGGGCCTTTCCTGCTACAGAACATCTAGTCTCTAGACTGAAAACATACTTTTTATTATTTGTGTATGTGTGTATGTATGTGTGTGTGTGTGTGTGTGTGTGTGTGTGTGT